CTATATTTATATTCATATAATTTATATTATAAATAAATTTATTAAATATATAAACATAACCTATTTTTCTGAAACACATACATGCATGTGTGTGTATTTATATATACATAAATATACACAGCACACATACATATATTATGTAAACAAAAACGGTTGTTTTGGATGCGATTAATCGCGATTAATCGTTTGACAGCACTAAATTAATTAGATCAAAAAATAATTTGAATGGCTTGACAGCCCTAATGTAAATACATGTCAACTTGTTCAATTTAAAGTCTAGAGGAGTCACAAATGATTCAGAGTTGACGAACTGATTCATTTGAATCTTTTGGCCGGTTATGCAGCTAAAAAGCGTCACCTGACGGATCTGTGTGTGCTGATTGGTCTGTTGTGTTGGTGATTGACAGAAAGCAGACCTGGCCGTGGCTCCGCTGACCATCACATACGTGCGAGAGAAGGTGATTGACTTCTCCAAACCCTTCATGACCCTGGGCATCAGCATCCTCTACCGCAAACCCAACGGCACCAACCCTGGCGTCTTCTCCTTCCTCAACCCTCTGTCCCCTGATATCTGGATGTATATTCTACTGGCTTGCTTGGGTGTCAGTTGTGTGCTGTTTGTCATAGCCAGGTAACATGTGACCTTCACACGCGTTTGACCACACGTCTGTCTTCATCCTCGCTCTCAGGAAACGGGGCCATTTGTGCCTGAAAATCTCTGCAATTTAATAAAATTATAATAAGAAAAAATGAACAACCCATAACATTTTCATAACTCTCTCATAACTTCGCGCACTAATTTTGTATTTAATATACTAAAAATGATTCTTTAGTACTGCTAGTATTATTGCACTAAATACTTTTATCACGATTAATCATTTGACAGCACTAATATATATATATATGACGGGTTATAAGAAAGGGTTACCCTTCTATATCCAAAATGACTTTTTCCTTTGATTATAGGGTGAAATATGACCGAAAATGTTTTCATGAGATTCATATGGATGGAAGATTTTTTATTTTTATTTTGTAACTTTGTCTTCGTTGAGTGACAAAATATATTTTATTAATTACTTTAGTAATTAAGTAACTTTAAAGATGTTGTTTGTGTGTTCGTGACTATAATATGTAGATGCTTGCAGTGAAATCAGTATAATGTAGATTCATAACTTAAGATGAAACCTGAAGTTTTCATAAATTGAGAACTCACCTTTTCCCCCAATGATTTTAAATATTGCAAGTCAAACAAACACATGTCCAGTGAAAATGTATCCCAACAGAACCAAAACCTCTCTTGTGAATGAGCTTAATTTACAACAGTATAATGTATATTACACACTTCATGTGTATTCATTCATGTATTTGTACAGAAGATTACATTTATTTGTCTGTTTATATAACAAAAGAGCAAGAGAATATATATAGTGGGTTAAAAAATGAAAGGGCTAGTTCAGAAAAATCATTGGTTGTCAACCCTCATATCTTTCCAAGCTTGTATGACTTTTCTTTCATTTGTGGATCACAAAAGGAGATGTTTAGCACAATGTTCACGCTGCTCTTTTTCATACAGTGAAAGCAGACAATGACCTGGAGCTGTCAAGCTTCAAAGAGGTCCAAAACACCATAAAAGTATTAATTAAGTCATGTTTTGAGAAACGAGCCAAATTTAAATCCTTTTTAAACCAGGGAGGAAGATTTTTAGTGTGCAACAGCTTAAATTGGGCTGTATTGCTGAAGTGCATATGAAGTGTACTGCTGTGAACTGTTCCTTTAACATCAGGTGGATGTGAAAAGCAGGAAAATGCCACTTGAGCATTTGTGCAATATCTGTGGTATTACTTTATGTTCATATAATTGTTTGTGTTTGTATGTTATTTTTTATACTGGATTTGTATATTAACTCAGCATTTGTACTGCATGTTTTGTTTTCTCTGGAACTTTTCCAGTTAAAGCACTTACCGTATGGTCATTATCTGAAGTCATATTTCTTCTGTTCTACCCATTCTGAATAATCATTTTATTCCAGTTGGACATACTTTAAATTAAATCATGAAAACATTGACTCCTTATGTCTTTACAGTTATTGCTTCTCCATTTATTTATTGATGTTCTGAGAATTGCATAACTGCCCAAAGAAGTAGAAGCAGAAGCAGAAGTTGCCCCATGCAAAGTTTGGTCCAGCTTCACTCTGTTGTCTCCTCTGACCCCCAATCTGTGTGCTGTTTCTGGCCCTGAGGAAAATCATCATTACAAACACCGATTTGCCTCTGATTTCTGGCATTTGACGGCGACTTCCACAAAAATGTTGGCGAGTGAAAATCGGGGCTAAAATCGTGCAGTGTTGGAACTAGGTTGGGTTGCACTAGTTCTCTCAGCTTCTCTCAGTTGTCCCGTGTATGATCACATGATAAACTAGGGTTGCACAGAATTCATTTGAGATTACTTTCTTTGTCTTTCTTTTCCTTGTCCTCTCTGTTATCTTGCAGCCTTGACATTGTTAGAATGCATTGTTCCAAAGCACATGGACATTCCTCTCACTCAAAAATTATAATTTGCTATTAATTTACTCAGTGAGCTGGAAAATTCAGTCACTCCGACTGGAAATTAGACAACATAGTGGTGTATCTGATACTATGATGACTTAAGTCATTCAGCACTCCAGTTCCTTGAACACTCACTGAACTGAGGAAACAGTTCAACTCAGCGATGAGCCGCTGATATGTGCATATGTGAACAGCACTTGAGCTGATGAAAACTAGTTTATTCACTTTATATGCTTTAGACATGTTAAACATCCACATTTCACATCATTGTTTGGTGCTTTAATAATATAATTGAGTGTACATTATATAATTGCGTGATTATGTAGACAAACTGTTAAATTGATTATTTGAATCAGTTAATTGAAATGAACTGTCCGAAAGAACCAGGTTGCAGAAAAGAATTGTACTTCCCATGTTGTTGCCCGAGGCTCTGGATTACAGGTAAAAATGTTGTATGTAATGTTCAGTTTCTTGCATAGGCCGATTGTTTCACTTCATAAGAACTCAACATATAATCAGGAGCCAAGCATATTGATTTTGTGTTGCCTGATATGCTTAAAGTACTAAAGACTCTTAAAGTAACCGTAGCCATTGACTTGCATTTTATGAATCAACACGGTTTCAGCTTTCCACTGAAGAAGGTCGTCTACATCTTGGATGGCCTGAAGGTGAGTAAACTGCAAATCTATTTTAAGATTGGAAATGCATTTTCTTGCCCTTGAAATACCGTACATTTTGAAAAAAAAGAAAGAAAAAGTTCAACATCAAAACTTAAATAAATAAGTAAAGAGCTAAATCACACTGTATTTTCAGCATGATGAACAAGGTGGAATATGTTTACTGGTGAAACACTTGATAAAAATCAGTCATGCATTGTCATGCAGAGAATAATTATGTTTAAAAAAAAAAGATTTTGCTCTTATTTCCACATTATCATTTATTTCACACATATTACCTGATAGAATGCAGAATCTGCTGTTTAAATATTAAAACATCCCTCTCCTGATACAATGTTAACAACACTGCTGTTTTTAACATTTTATGACATCAGAAAAGGACACAGACACAAATAATGAGCCAAAGAGTTTCCCCACAGAGATGCTTTTGCTGTGAGTCTTAATCAAGTAAACACATTACCACACGTGATATCTATAAATTAATAAATAAATCCTGTTTCTCACAGAGATAAAGACACAAAGTTTGTTTTGAGAGTGGACATGGAGGAAAGACAGACAGAGATATTAGACACATTTCACACTTCAAATCAGATAAAAATTAAGAGTTCAGGAGTTTCTCTCTCTGAGACTTCATGTGTTTCTTCAACTGCGGACACTCATGTCCCAGGGGCTGATTTTATTAAAACAAAACATCTATTTCACCATCCATCTTAAAGATATCATCTACTGCATATTACACAATATTTGTGCGACAATAATTTACCCAAGTGCTTCAGAAATCAGTTGTAGTATTATTTCCATACAGCCATCCTAGCCAAAATATGTTTTAAACAGTAAAGTTCAAGGAAATGTATTATTGAAATTGAAAACATATTTAGTTTCAACCTTCATATAGCAAAATATATTACAACATGATTTTTAGGAAAACATAAACATTTCTAATCTTATAATAGCTAAGATATAAGACTACAAAACTGGCACAGGAAGCAGGAAATCAAGAGAACAAACTAAAAGACAGGACACAACACAAGACACAGGGGATTTATGACAAGAGCAATTCTATATTTTGGACATTTTTACAACAAACAATTGCCTTTAATAAAAGTTTTTAATAACGTGTATTTGGTTATCAAGGAGACAACAGAGTGGTTGAAGCGCTTGATATGACATGGACAAGGAAAAAAAAAAAAATCTAGTCAAGCTGTTGACAGATGATGCAAAACGTGTGAAAAAAAAAGTATTATTTA